CCATCAGATCTTTAAAAGACAAAATCTTAAGGTTAAGAAAAGTCCTGTAATCTTCTTGTTGCTCGTGTAGTAAACCCTGATTAATATTAGTGAGTTTTGTTAAGAACGGATAGAGGAAAATAAAATATATATGGTATGTTTACTTTTCATTAAGTCAAATTGATTATGTTTCTTTTGGCCTAATATATTTCATCTGCAAACATTAGAATTGTATTTTAGGAGAGAAAGTGTAGGGACAATGTAAAAATAAAATGTAAAATATGAAATTTTAGCCTGTGGTGGAGAAATTACTAAGGGAGATGAAAATCTGCAAGTCAAATTTATTAATTTTGTCTAAATGAATATTATGAAATGGAAATATGTAATTTTCCACTCTAAAAAAATCTGCTTCCTTTGAACAGGTATTTTTCAGAGTTTGCACAGTATGATACTTTGAGCTGAAGGTGAACCTTTCCAGGGTCCTCTTCCTTTATACTTTTAAGAACAACTCTTCACGTAGTATCCATCCGCATTTTATCCACCCGTGTGTACTGAAGTCGAATGTTACATGGCTGTAAATACCATCTTGCCTTACTGCATGTTGACTTTCCATATAGACCTGCCTTTAACCTCTTCCCCTGCCTTCAGTATTGCTGGCTGTAGGGTGTGTCTACGTGGTATACTGAATAAACTACGCAGAACCAGTTTACTTTTTTTTTACCTAGACTAATAAAAGAATAATGAGCCTAGTCACTGAGTTAATGGATGTGACAGGCTGCTACAGTTCATGAGTTGCAGGTGCTTAGCACCTCTCACTGTAAGATACAGCTCAAAAGTCACTGAGTTAATGCAACTGCTCAACTTCCAGTCTTTGAATTAGCAAACCTAAATCTGATTTTTGGAACAGATGCATCCTGCAGAGTACTGAGTAGTCTGTCCAAAGCCCAGTAAGAAATCTGGTTGTACCTCTGTACAGGAAACGCGTTGGGAACTTTCATTTCAAGGACGTTGAGGTGCTGGAGCGTGTCCAGAGAAGGGCAATGAGGCTGGTGAGGGGTCTGGAGAACAAGTCTGATGAGGAGCGGCTGAGGGAACTGGGGTTGTTTAGTCTGGAGAAAAGGAGGCTCCAGGGAGACCTTCTCACGCTCTACAACTACCTGAAAGGAGGTTGTAGCGAGGTGGGGGTCGGTCTCTTCTCCCAAGTAACTAGTGATAGGACGAGAGGAAATGGCCTCAAGTTGCGCCAGGGGAAGTTTAGATTGGATGTAAGGAAAAATTTCTTTACTGAAAGAGTGGTTAAACATTGGACCAGGCTGCCCAGGGAAGGGGTTGAGTCCCCATCCCTGGAGGTATTTAAAAGACGAGTAGATGAGGCACTTAGGGACATGGTTTAGTGGGTATGGTGGTGTTGGGTCGATGGTTGGACTCGATGATCTTAGAGGGCTTTTCCAACCTCAATGATTCTATGATTATTGGTTGAAGACAATCGAAGTGTGGGCTGTTACTGAAGACAATAGTTCATTTAGTATGTGACTGCACAGTCTGTTGCAGCGAGGGTAGCAGGAACTCATGGCTAGAAGAGAGCAATTACACCTCTGGTAGTGATCTGTAACTCTAAACCTGCTGTGAAACTGCAGTTGAAGACAGTTCAACTGTTTGAAGTTCAGCACTTGGCTCCTTTTCTGGATCCAGTCCGCAGTTTGCACTGAGTTCTGCGAACTGATACGCAGCTCTACTAAAAGAAAGGAAGAGGGACAGGGAGAGCTGATAAGATACTATATGTGCTCAGTAGAGGGTGGTTATTTTATCGGCATACATAAGTTTCAGGACTCTCTCGTTCCTGCTCTGTGAACCAACTATTTGTAAGTACAGTGTGAAACTTCACACACTTGTTCTCCACAAGCCTGTCTTGCTGACCACTGACAGGACAACTTTTAACAAATACCGTTATTTCAGCTATCACGCTGGACACTTAAAGTCTATTTTGTATGAATTTTGGAAACGGAAACTGCTTTAGTGAATTATGGTAAAGAAATGTTTCCTGCTACTGGCACCTTTTTGAGACACATTGTCTGGGGAAAGTTCCTTTTTTTATCATGATTACTAATAAAGACAAGACTGTAGTTCAGTATGTGGTATGTGTTCCTTATGGCTTTGCTGATGGGCTTATTAAACTGTTGTCCTTGTTGGTATGTTTTCATGCTGAATGCTTTGATATTTGCTCATAAACAAGGTATCAGTGATTAACTTTTAAAATTACATTTTAAGCTGCTTAGTAAATAGATGGTTGTATTTCAGCAAGAAATTCATGTGAACATTATTTTCTGATATTGTGACCTATTTTGAAGGTTGAGGAATTGATCTCTGAGAATTTTGGACATTTGTAAAACCCTTTGTCACTTCACAGGCTCACAGAATGCAGAAATTTGGGTCCAAGTTCAGGAGAGAGGTGTGTTCCCATTATCTGTATTTTGTTCAGAAGCATTTTGAAAACTGAAAACCAAAAAGTTTAAAAACTTACTTATCTTTAAGTGTGCTTCCATGAAATTTAGTGTTGTTCATCTTAACCATATATTGCTCTTTGTGTTTCCAGATTGACAGGTCTCAATACTAAAAAATGAGGTAGATGGAAAAGGTGGAAGAAATTGTTCGTGCAAGTTGGCTCACATAAATGTGCGTTTTGCAATGTCAGTTTTCTCCAGTGGCAGAGCCTTTTCATGAAGTTCAGTTCTGTATTTTCTCTCAGTGGATTGTTTGGTTTTTTTTTTAATAGTTCTGTATTTTCTCTCAGTGGATTGTTTTTTTTTTTTAATTTTTTTTTGCTTTCCCTTTTTCTCCCTCTCTCTTCTCTACGCTGCTGGTATTTCTCCAGAGAGTATGATCTCTGACCTTGCATGTCCCCTCTTTGTCCCTTCACCAGAACGTTCTTCTGTTTCTCCTCCTTGTTCTCAGCTATGGCAAGTCTATTCTTCAAAGATGTTCCTCTTTGACTAACTGATCTTCTCCCTTTTGTTGTTGGGGATGCGTAATTCCACAGTTAACATCCTCATGTAAAGGGTCATTCCACCAGAACCTGTGGAAAAAGTTAGCAAATCTTGAATGTTGTCTGCAGCTTCTCCTTCGTGCTTTACATTTCTGTCTGATTTGTATTGTCTGGGGCAGTTGCATCTTTAGTATTTGTTTCTTCAGCGAGTAAAATGAGATCATAGTTCATACAAAAGTATCTTCTATTAAGATTCCTTAAGGGAATCCTTGTCTCTTTCTTCCTCAGTTTCTGTACCCTGGCATCTTTTACTTCCTCCTTTGCCAATATGCTTTTACAAATATTTTTACAGCCATATGATTCTTAAGGGAAACATTTTTATTGTGTAGGATACAAGCATGTACTTCATATCTCTGTGGCTGTTGGCAATTCGTATTTTTTTGCAGGTTATTGCAATGTCTCTTAAGTATCCATGCCATATAGGTATTAATTTGACTCTGTATACTTGACTGGAGAAAATCTATTAATGCTTAGAGACAAGATACAGGCAAGTCAGAAATATTTGAATAGCACAGCTCTCCAGATCTCTGAAAAAATAGCAATGAAAATTGTTACGAAATGCATCTTGAGCTAGAGAAATGCAGTCAGCAAGAAACAGCTTCAGTTTCAGCTACAAATATTTATAGGTACCAGCACATCCTTCAGCAGTGTGTACAAAACTAGATAGTTAATGAGTCAAAACTTGTGTGCCTGTAGGTGTAGAACATGCATAGGGACAGTTCTGGCATATGCATCCAATAAGTATTGCTTATGCCATCTCTAGACTTCTAAAAGTGAGAACCGCATTCATTGTCTTGACTTGTTACTGGTTTTCTTTTACTTGAAAACATATTTGTTAACTTTTAATTACTGATTTGATTTTACTTTGGCATTATAAAACACTGCTCTGTTTTTGAATATGTGGGCAGGGGAGGCGGTAGTAGTTAATTTTTTATAGAAAGCATTAATTTCTGTGCGTATGGAAATTCTTCTTACTTAACATGAAGAATAGCAGAAAATTATATAATATTCTGAAGAGCAGTGATGCATTTTTTAATTTCCTTGTAATATATTGTGCTTGCAAAATGAGAATTGCTTTCTCTATTAGTCTCCTGCACTAAGTTAATGCTTTAACTGGTGACAAAGGCAAAGAAAACCACGTCAGCTCAGTGAAAGTTCATTGTAGAGATAAGGATACAGCTTTACTAACGTAAGGTTTGTGGTAGTCGGTGCAGTATGAGAAAGTAGGTGCATTTACCTAGTCATGTATATTCAACTGATATTTTCTGAGCAGGATAATCAGCAGGACAGGTCTAGTGCTGTCTCCCCTGCAGCTCCTCCATCCCACGTCTTCCTATCCAACCCTGTTTTCCCACAACTCTCCTTTTCCTTCAGCATCGGGCATGCCTCTCATTTTCATTTAAAGCAGCCCAACCCTCACCCTGTCTTGTGCTGGCACTGTGTCATCTGCAAGGCAGAGTCTGCAACCTGAAAAACTTTGGAGAGGTGGAAGAATGAGAACATCTTTTCAGTCTGGGAATAGCTCATTGCAGCAGGGGTACTGGCCATTCTGCAGTACCGCAGTGTGGGGCTTTTTCACTTTGAAAATACCTTCTGAGCCTTCACCTACATAAAGAAATCCATGACTGATTTAACTTGGGAGATTTCTTTTGTGAAACCGTTATTGGAAAGCTAATTATCAGTTTATTTCACTTTATTATTATTACAGATAAGAAATATTTCATTTCATTTCTCTATTAGTTATCACTTCTCCGAATATTCTGATATGCTTCCCCATTTCTAATCATGTAGTTGAAAAACAGTTTTAAAGTGTTAATCTCCTTTTCCTTTTTAAATATTGGATTAGGTTTGTTGTTTACCTTTGGCTGAGCTCCCTGGATAACTTTTTTTAATATGCTGATTCCCAAGGGAAACATCTATCTGCAATATTACCTTTTAAGCCTGGGTTTGTTTGGGTTTTTTTTTTCTGTTTCAGGAAGAAGAAAAGTCAAGAAATGTCTGCCAATTTAAAATACCTTTCCTTGGGCATCCTGGTTTTTCAGACCACAAGTTTAGTCTTGACCATGCGTTATTCTCGGACACTGAAAGAAGAAGGACCTCGTTACTTATCCTCTACTGCAGTAGTTATTGCTGAACTTCTGAAGATTCTGGCCTGTGTTCTGTTGGTCTACAAAGACAGCCGTATGTGTCAAATTTTGCACCAAGTAATTTTCCTAATCAATATCCTGTATTGTAGTGGCAACTGCAAAGCAGCCATGTGAGTACAGGCATACAACAAAGCATTTCCCTTCTTGTGTAAGAAATAGTCTTGGAAAGACACTAATCATACTTCACTCCTCATCACACGATACGAGATACTGTATACTTGCTGAAGAGAGTTCTCTTTAAAGAATGTGGATACTGAGGAGTGCAAGAATAAATTTTCTACTAACAGCTTGAAGCTTGTGTTTGCTCAGGCATTTTAAGAAATTCATATGTAGAAGTAGGAAAAAATGAAAAGATTTAAGTGTGTCCAAAGCATGAATGATAATTTAGAAGCCTATAATAAACAGTAGATGCAGAAGGGAGGAAGCAATTCCATTACTACAGGAAGAAGCAGAGTTTTAAGCTCAAAAAAAGTATATTCAGATTTACTCTAGGTCTTATTTTGTACATTTTATACTGAATTTATCTGGTTCCTTGACATATATATTTGATCTTCAACAGCTTGAAAATATCATTGTATATGCATAAATATTGATGACTCTGTAGGCTTCTAAATGTGCACCTTTTAGGTGATACTCCTTAACGTATCATCTTCAAGTATTGATACGGTTTCAATGAGTTTTACTTAAGTATTTTGAATAATTGTTCTAGTTCTGATATTCCAGGCTACAGGAAGACACTTTGCAGCCTTTTTTTCTTACATATGAGGCTTACGAAAGTCAAACAAACATAGATAGTATTTTGAGGTCTTGATAGCAGTGATAGCCATAAAAAGGGGGCAACAATCTTTAAGAATAGAACATTGCTACCTCTCTTTTTTTTTTTTCCCCTCCTTTTAGTAAATGTCTATTTCTTTTATTGTTTCTTTGGGTAGAGTGCAATTTACAGACTCTGAACAGAGTGCTACATGATGAAATCCTTAATAAACCCATGGAAACTCTTAAACTTGCTATTCCTTCAGGAATTTATACTCTTCAGAATAACTTGCTGTATGTAGCATTGTCAAACCTAGATGCAGCCACATACCAGGTATGGTACATTTGGATTTCTCTGTAAGTTTCAAAAAAACCCATTAATTATGTGGTAGTAACTGTTTCTGGGTTTTTCTAGGTTACATATCAACTGAAAATTCTTACCACAGCATTGTTTTCTGTGTCCATGTTGAGCAAGAAATTGGGTGTATACCAGTGGCTTTCATTAGTGATATTGATGACAGGAGTGGCATTGGTGCAGGTAAATATTAACAGGTGGTTTGTGTTTATTTAATGTGTTTATTCAAGGAACATGGATTTCTGTACTGGTTATACAGCTTTCTGATTCTACCAGCTGCACACAAGCACCAGAGTGTGGTCAGGAGCTATGAATCACAGCTGGCCAGGGCTAGAGGACACCAGAAACCTTCAAAGGCAGAAGATAACACCTCTTTTGTGTCCTAGTGCTCTACTGTAGCATGTGACAGGGCCTCTGGAGCAACCTGCAAATAACAGTGAGAGCAGTGTTTATTAGCACGCTTCTTCAGACACTAGGGATTCACAGATCTTCTGTGCCAGCACAGTCCTGCTGCTCACCTTGTGATACGGTTCCAGCATGGCAAATTTACTTGAACTGTTTCAAGAGGCAAACTTGGCCTCTGTTCTAAATAGTGCAGGTACAGGAGTTTGTAGTTTTCAGAGGGCAGGATCATGGGATGAGACTGTTCTAAGAATTTTTAGCAGATTTTAGCATATCCTAGAAAATTTTATTTTAAAACTTAAGGATTTGAAAAAAAATTGGAGGATTAAATTTTATAGAATTTTCAAATTTAATAATTGAAAATGAGAACAAAACATTCTGAGAGTAATTAACAGACTCTTCAGTATGTTTTTGTCTATGGCATTGCATTTTATTCTGTTAGCATTAGATATATTGCAGGATTTAGCTTCCTAAATTTCAGCTTGTTTTAGTCGTCTGCATAATCACTGAAGAGGGGCACATGCAAAAGACAATTCACCCCATCTTAAAAACAGCTGCTGTAAATGGTTTTCTAACTGTGCTTACATTTATAAGGTAACTGACTGTCGGGTGGCAAAAGTTGGTGACTGTGAATGACCGTAAGTCATGCTGGGATTCAGAAACGGTTCCGGCTTATAAAACATGAATCCTGGACCTGTTTAAATTGATGGGTATTCTCCCAGTTCAGGCACAATTTTACTCCTTACAAATACATAGAAAGAAAAATTGTGGCTTTGCAGTCCTTTAAAAGTATTTATGGTGCGAGGTACAAAACTTTACAAGCATGTGATTGTCTGTTTTTAGTAACTGTTACTGTTGCTAGAAAACAAATTTGCATTTTATAGATGCTCATGACTTGATTTTATCAGTGAATTTGTATAACTGTTTTTACATCCAGTGGCCTTCAGACTCTCAAGGAACAGCTGCTAAGGAACATTCAGCAGGATCTCAGTTTGTAGGCCTGATTGCAGTTCTTATAGCATGCTTTTCTAGTGGATTTGCTGGGGTTTATTTTGAGAAAATTTTAAAGGAAACTAAGCAGTCTGTGTGGATCAGAAACATTCAGCTTGGTAAGTTTAATTTTAGTCATCTCTTGGAGATAGTGCATTCTGAAGAATTAAGATAAATGTGCAAAATATATATATAAATAAAAAATACCACCAACATTTTAGTATTTGGCATAAAAATACTTTTAAAACCAAGAGTATAAACTCTGCTAGATAGAATTATCTGTTTATGGAATTTGTATTTAAAATTCTCTAAAGAATGTTATATTATGCAGGATTCCTTGTATCCTCTCCTTAAAAATGATAGTCTTTTGCACTAATTCATGAGATCTGATAAATATAATAGTATTCCTTTTTCCTTTTTTTTTACTTTTTTTAGAGAATAAAGAACAATAAAAATATATTTCTAAATCAATGTTTTGAGATGTTTTAAAATTAACTTTTTTTTTCTCTCATGTCTGGGTAAGCAGGTTTTTATAGGTTGGCACTTTTAATGCAAAAAAACCCTGCTTGCTTTGTGAATAAAGTTGAGGTAATGAATTATTTCAGTACAAAGGTCAGTTTGTTTCAGTTGTCTGTATAATCACTGGAGAGAGGCATATGCAAAAGGCAGTTCTTAATTAAGAACTTAATATTTAACTATTAAATGCCTTAACTTAATGCCTTTAACTTAACTATTTAATGCCTTTACCTATTGTGCACCTGTCAGTAAGAGAATACCTCCTATTTCCAAAGTAGTTCTGGATCTTCTAGACCCTGGATATTAATGGCGACAGAGTTGATCCATTTTCCTGAATGAGTTTTCCCTCACCTCAGAGCAGTCTTGTCCAGTTGATAGGGTTGGAAATGTGACATCAGCAATATCTTTTTGTTCCTGTTTTGCAACGGAAACAAAACTTATTGTTGGAGTTGCCCTTCTTTCTCTAATGGAATCCCTCTAGTCTTCACCTGTAGGCAATAATTATTTATTGCATATTTGAGTAAATGCTTTCAGCAGAACTTGAACTTTCCAGCACCTTAGGACGGACTCTTGATCAAATCCACAGTACTGTAGAATTAAGTCATGAGGATGATTTAGTGGATCAGGGCTGTGTACTGAGTCTGGTAGAATATAATGAAGTACCATAAAAACCAGGAGATGGTGTAGTTTTTTGTAATTACATAGTTGGTCAAAAACTGGTATGGTCCAAAATGTCTGAATACAAGCAATATTTTTTCCTTTCTTTTCCTGCTGCTGTCTTTTAATTATAAATGGTTTCAGTTAAAAACACAGGACTGCATTTTGATTATATCTTAATATTTTTACATGTCCATAATGTTTTGAAACTTGAGGATAGAGAAGGGGATCTAAACCTCTACTTACCATCTGCTGGTACTTACTGAAATTGTGTATATTAAAACTAAGTTTTCTTGAACAGGGTGTAGGGGATACATCAGGAAAGGTTATGTTAGGGAATTTTGGAGGCAGAGAAGGGTGGGTGGCTGGGGCTTGGTCCAGGATTTAAGGTAAGATTTGTGGTTCTGGATGGAGCTACAATATAAAATCCGTTGCCAAGGAAAGCTGATTATTACTACTCTCAATTTCCACGCTAAAAGCGCTTTGGTGGGCAACAATGCAGATATCTGAAACAATTTCCAGTTAAACATTCGTAATTGTTGAAAATCAATGATCTCTTCTAAAACATTCTTCAGATTTTTCTACAGTGCACAAAAGTATGTGTGGAAAAAAAAAGAGTTCACTAGTTTCATAGTCGGCCTGGTCATATATTGAATATTCCAGTAATTGCTTTGTGAAAACAATGAGATCAGAACAGACTGCGTCTAAACACAAACTGTTCAAGGTAATGAATAACTAGGACTGTGATATATGAGGACATAAATGTCTGTGATAATAGTGAGAATAGAATTACCTCTTTTTTTTAATTATTATTATTTATTTTTTGTCAGCTTAATTTGCCTCAATACAAAATTCAGTAGACTATGTTTGCTATTAAGGTTGTTTTCAGTTCAAAAATGAAATTAATTTTGTCGTATTTCATAGAGGGTTTCCTGATAACAGCTTTTAGAAAATATTTAAAACATGAAATCACAATTTCAAAAATACGTTAGTGTATCCGTTCTGCAAGTGCAAGATAGTTGCCCGCTTAAGACATTGTATCATTCAGGAGCAAGTCAGTCATAAGCAAGAGGTTTGAAATAGAGCTTTTCTTAAAACACAAACAACAAAAACCATATGTCCAACCTGGTTTTAGTTTTCATATCTGTAGAGAATTATTAGAACTGTAGAAAAAATTGGAAAACATTTGAATAATTGTTGCAAAATTCAGTTTTTAATGCATACCAGTATCATATTAGGGGTGTATGAATAGTTGATTTTATTTTTTTATTTTAGCAGACCAATTGGAAAATAGAAGTAATTGCTTTAATCTGAATTAAACCTAAATTTTTAATTATGTCTACAAAAAGAATTATTTCTTGTCAAACGGAAGGTTTTATTTTGTTCAGAACAATGCCACCCTTTTCAGATGCAAAGAAACGCGATGAAAATAGAGGTCAGTTTTTCACAGAAAAGGAATGGAAAAAATGTTCCCTTTTCTGCTCAGGACTAGAGCCTACATCCGTCACAGAGGAGGTGCTTGCATTACTTCCATGCCTGAGGGGATTAGGAAAAGTTTCCTGTCTGATAGAAGAACACTAGACTCACCAAATTACAAACTTTTTAATCTCATCTCAATTTCTTCTTTTGACATTAAGTTTCTACTAGTAAACATTCGTTGTGTTTGAGACTGGTTCAGAAGAATCCCACTTCCAAGATCCTTGTCTGAATTGGCAAACTGATAAGTCCCGCTCTTGCTACGTCAGCGACCATCTCCTCCACTGAAAGTCTTCCCTGTTTTTCTCTCCAGGTTATAGTGTGACCTCAGCCTTCAGTCATGACTAGTTTCGGGAAAACTGAAATTGTGTTTAAGTGAATTTTGCTATATGCCATAAACAAAAATCACCCCATTCCGGTAGAAAGCAATGGAAGATAAGTATATAAGAATGTCCTAACGGAAACAGGCAAAAGTTGTTATAAGTGTGGAAAAAAGCTTTTAAAAGAGAGTATCTGTCTGAACACTGACTGGATTTGAATGTGATGGTATTGCAAGTAGCAGTCCTATTTTAAAATCGGATATATGTGAGCAGTCCTTGAGGACAAGGAACCTGTTTGCATGTTTTTCACCTGAAGCTTTTAAATCAATCTTGTACTTTCAGGATTTTTCGGTAGCATATTTGGACTGATGGGTGTATACATTTATGATGGAGAACAAGTGTCAAAGAATGGATTTTTTCAAGGATACAATAAACTCACTTGGATAGTTGTTGTTTTACAGGTGAGATACCTTGTGTCACATGTTTCTGTGAATTTTAGTCTTCTATAAATGACTGGGGAAACTACTGAGTGACATTGAAGCTACTGAGAATTCTATAGTCAAAAGTCTGATCTATCACTATTAGAATAAATCTCTAAATAAAAACCTGGAAAATATATAGCGAGTATATGACTAAGTATTGTGCAACATAAAAGCATATAAGTGTTATTTCTTTTGCAATGTTTAAAAAAAAAAAAATATGCCCTTCCTCCTGTGGCTAAAAATGTATAGTACAAGCATTTCCACTAATTTAATGATGGTAATATGATCAACAATTTCTTTAATGGGGAAAGAAGAACTCTTCCAGTATTTATCTTCAACAGTGCATATCCGTAACATAAAATAAATTTAATGCTCCTAAACATAGACAAAAGTTTTTCCTAAAGTAAGCACGTGTTGTTAAAATAGCTGCTCTCAGTGGAATTAGCAGGTTGCAAACCCAAACCTCAATATTTTTCAGGCACTTGGAGGGCTGGTGATTGCTGCTGTTATAAAATATGCAGACAACATTTTAAAGGGATTTGCAACTTCTCTCTCTATTATACTGTCAACGTTGATCTCCTATTTCTGGCTGCAAGATTTTGTCCCTACAAGGTAAGAATTATTTTCCATGTATGCTGAAAAAAAGAAAAGTAGTTGAAAACTTAATGCTTACCAGATAATAACTGCAAAAATAAATAAAAAAACCAGTCCAAGCCACACTTTTAGAATGTTTAGATACAACTTGCACATAAAAGCTTAGTTTCATAACATACCATAACGAATACTTAATTTTTTCAGTATAGTTGGCAAGGTTAAATTCTGTGCAAGATGCAGCCCCTCACAGGTCAGGAATAACTGCATCTGAAGTCTTGGCTTTTGACGAACCACTCTCTAGCAGGCTCTCTGTCCCTTTCTCTCCTTCTCCTCCCTACCCGACCTCCCTCAGTTCCTTCAGCTCCTACTTTGCCTTCATGCTGAAGCCAGCCCTCTTGGGTGCTGGCGCTTCCCTTGCCCTGCCTTTGGCCCTGCTCTTTGAACTGGTCTCCCACCTGCTGGCTGTTCTGAGTAAGACCGTGACAAAGGGGTTGCCTGTCTCTTCTTGTCTCTTTGTCCTCTAAATGGACAGATCTTCCACAAGTCACCTCGTTGCAAGAGGACTTAGGGCTGAACGATGACAATGGCGATCATCTCTTTATACGGGTTTTCATCCAATCTCAAAACAGTCTCTAAAAGAGAGAATTGCAATCGTACACACATGGAAGTTACACTATAGCGATTAGTTGCCCAAGGACACCCAGAAGCCCAAAGGCAGAGCTTTTTTCTAAACAATACCATATTTATTAGTGAAAACACTCAACCGAGAAAGAGAGAAAAATGCTTGCTATATGCTTCTAGGACCAATACTGTGTGCTGACATTTTGTGAATCAGATTTTAGTAGCACTGTGCACTGCGGGTTTTGTACATGGGTAGGTTCTGCAATAGTGCTTGTCTTGGCAGTGCGTGTTAATATATGGAGTGTAGAAGTAATATTCCAACTTTCCAGATATATTAATAGGATTTTGCTTATAATTGACCTACACTCCTCCCCTGTGTTACACATAATCATAGCGTAAAAATATTTTGAATAATATTTACAACTTTTGTATCTGATACAACAAAAGATCTTTTTATCTAAAAGTAGTATTTGCAACATTAGCAGGAGTTTACTTAAACATTCAAAAAAGGAAGTAGAACAACTATTTAGGCTTAAAAAGTGGAAGACATTCAACTTAAGTTATAAGTAGCCTATACTTGTCCTATTAAAACAAATTTAGAAAGTGGTTTAAGAATTTCTGTGTGCTCAAATGGAAAATCAATAAGTAACTTAACAGCTTCTGCAAACATGGTGAAAATGGAAACAGTGGTAAATAATTAAATTAGATGGAGCCAACTAGCAGCAAGTAGAACTTGAAGCCATCTCATTTAATAAAACTTGATTAACTTGAGTTAAGCAAACTTAATTTTTAGTAGCTTGCTTATGCCAACTGAATTTATTTGAACTGAAACTGAGTAATTGTTCCTGTCACTTAAACAAACATTTTTGATGGGGATAATAGACATAAAATACTTAAGTGCTTGAATGTGTTGCAGTGGGTCATGTGCAGAAGTAGGCTAACTGTATTCTCTGAAGGATTATCATGTCATGTGCCACAGGTTTTTTAGTGTTTGGTTCAGAAGATCAAATTGTCAACATTGTCATGTCTTTATGACAAGGTTCTTTTCTAAAATGTGTACTGATTGTCTGTTGGCTTTGGATATTTTGTTTCAGACTTTTAACTATCAAAACAACTTGAAGGGCCCATATGTCACAATACAAAAGATGCCTTTATTATCTTTTCCTTATATAAATCTTTATGTATCTGCCAAAAATTAGATTATATTGACTTGCAGATTGGTTCTTGGGCAACAGTAATTTGTTTTGACATAAGCTTTGGGCTTCAAAGCAAACACAAGTCCAGCAACGTGATGTACGCAAGATGTTAAAAATGGCTGGGTAACCACGGTAGTTGCACTTCTTTAGCTTCTGCTTGCATTTTGCACAGAGCTTTAGGCAAAAGAGGAGAGGAAAAAAAAAAAAGGATTGGTCTGATTACTTTTGACAATTGTTTCATGGAACTATAATTTTAATTTTCAGAATATGTCAGTATAATGATACATTATTTTGTGGATGTAAGTTTCTTATTTCAACTTCTTCCTGCATCCTTCTATAATAAATATATGCAAATTATTTTGTTCTTTATAAAGTGGACAAATATAATTTATCTTTCTGTGTTCCCACAGGAAAAATGTCCGTTCTTTTGATTGTATTACACAAATAAAATTGCATCAACTGAAATGAGCTAACTTTTTTTTTTTCCCATCCCTATTCTATTCAGTGTCTTTTTCTTCGGAGCCGTCCTTGTAATAGCAGCTACTTTCCTATACGGTTATGACCCCAAACCCGCAGGAAATCCCATTAAAGCATAGCAGACTTCCTCATCAGCCTGCTTCTCAAGACCATGCACTGGGGGCCTCGCTAACGATGGTGTGTGGGAAGTGTCATTGTGCACTGCAAGGGAAGGATTACTGCCCTGAATCTGTTGAAGAAATGCTTATGAGTAGTTTTGAACAGCCAGATGGGTTAAAGGTCGTTGATGATACTGTCTGTAACTGAAAACAAAACAAAAACTGGCAGGGGAATGCCCAGTGCAACTTGCTAATAAAAACTTGAAAGGAACAAAAAGTTTCCAAGAAACTGCAATTAGGAATGTTTACAGCTTTGACTGGGATTGTGTCAAAAGAATTTACTGTACTGACTGCTGCAGAAATATGTCCTATGCACTCTTTGAAAGAGCACATGACAACATTGTCAGATTGTATGTTTTTGCAATTTGACTATATTTAATCTTAGTAAATATGTTTTTAACTGTTTGTCTGTTTACCTGAAATCAGCTGAACACACATCATAGTTCTAAAGTGATGGTTCTAATTAGATATTCCTTATTAAAACTGTGAAGATTGAAGTATGATTGAAAGACACTTTCACAATATCAAATATTTTTATATTTTTAGAAGGCTGATTTAATAACAGAAATCTGTGTTCTGTTGCTTATATAAAACTATTGTAAGAATGTTAACATTCTCACCTAAGTACACAAAGGCAGAAATTCAGAGTGAAAGCTGGAAATCTGTGGTGGTACTCCAGCCTTCATCAGGACAGCCTGTAGTGTTCCAAGAGACGCAGTAACTCTGTGAACACAGGCCGGAGGTTACTGCACTAGCCTGGCACTAAGAGTAGGGTTCTGATGGAGTGCTTGCTCGGATGTGATGTTCGTTCTTTTTATTGATTATAAATCAGCTTGTTGGTAGAACCTTTAAAGTTGTTTTTATGCTTTAAATATCCTCTGGGGATTTTTTTAACCACAATTTAAAAAAAAAAAAAAAGCCCATAATAAACATTTTAAATGCATTATTGTTGTCTGTAACAGCTCCATGTGGAGCTATTATGGTATATCATCTGTATACTGTACTGTACTGTATTAAAGAGGTGTTTTTTAAATGAGTGTTGTTTACTCATGAACTCTCCAAGGCGCTTTCAGTACATTTCTATGTAGTGGCTTAATTAGAGAATTTTTATTGTTATTATTATTATTTTGTTCTGGAACTCCTTGAGCCAGAAATGGGTTCTCTGGAGCTATTCCGTCTACTAGTGGAATTTCTTTAATAGGAAACATGATGAAAAAGTAATTAATTGTGCAATAGGTAAATATAAAAGCATGCTGTTTAAAACCAAAAAAAAAAGCTTCGCAAGGAAACCTAGATGCGATTAGAACTTAGATCAATTAGACTGTTACGAACACTTCACTTGTTGAAGTATTTGCATATAGCCAGAAACACCTAAAAAAAAATGCCAGAACTAATAAACAAAAAAAGCTGTCTTAAAAATCCCTTGTTTTCAGGAGACCTATTCACAATGGATATTATTCTTAGCCACGTGTTACACTGGTAAAGGTAAAGATTTGTACAAAAACGTATCAATAGTCCCTTACCTGTAGAACAGCAAGTGGTAAAAATGTATGATTTCCTTTTTTCCCCCCTCACGCTCTTTCTCAGTTCTGTCTTGTGCTAATGAACACGTTGTGAAGAGAGGTGTTTTTAAAATGTTCACCGAAGTACCTCATCCTCTTTTCCACCTTTTAGTGGTGGATTGACAAGGAGATTCTGTACGAGTGCCCTGAGATTTTTTAATGAAGTACTGTAAATGGGAAAGGAAAAATTCCACTTACGTCAGCCAAGTAAAAATAGTGTTTTCCTTCTGTTGGCACTGACATGGATTATCAACTCTTTGTTTGTTTATCGTATCAGAGCAAGACATTAAAGACATTTCAGAGTTATGCCAAGGGCTTGCTAAGCTTTGTGAATTGTGAATCCGTCCCGGCATGCCGTAATTGCAGGAGCTCTGCTACTCGCAAGTCAAAACTATCTCCTATTACCCTAAATTGGCATTCTATGTTAACATTAAACCTTTTACCTATAACACTCAATGTGGCAAAAATCTTTGAAAAATTGCATTTAGTCATTTCGCCACTGAAATACAACACGAGGTAAGATATATACGGCAGTGGCTCGCAGCGGTGCTTAGTGTAGAACGGGAAGCGCGTGACTCTGAAATGATCTGAGAAGTGTTGGTGGTAATATCTGAATTGGAGTTTGGCCTACGCCATAGTACTTTTAATTTCATGAATCACAGTAGTGGGAACGTTCAGGTGATATAATTGGTTACTTCCTCAAGGAATTTCTCCAAAAAATGTAAGAAGCGGCTTGAGAACACTTTAAAGCCGGTTGCACAGGAAGGGACCAAATAGGCTAAATAATCGCCACATTGCTGGAGTTGTGTGACATAAACCCCAGTTTTAGTACTTCAGGTGTACCTGTCAGTACTTGTCAACAAGGATCAGTCTGAAGGAAAGAACAGGAACACGTGCTCTTTGCTTTTGAATAGGATGTCGTACAGCTTTGGAAAACAATTATCTGCTGCACCGCCCGTAGATCGGTGACTCTTCCACGCTTTCAATTTACAGTTCCATTAAATTTTCCAGTAGAGGGATAGATCTCTTCATATACTTGTTGCTGGAAAGGAAATACGAATTTGCATTTTTAGCTCTCTTCCCTTAGCCCTTTACAGGCCAAGGAAAGACTCTCGTCTGAGACCCTCCAGGCTGAAAAGCGTTATTCTAGACAGAGGGAAGACGGCGTATGTTTCTTGAGAACAGAAAGGATTTGAGGAGGGTTTACCGAGTTCTGTAACCTTTGCAATCTCAGAGCATATGCACATTTTCTCATTGAGATACTTTTGTATCTGGATTTTAAAATTTAAAAAAGGCAGTTTTAAGTCTGTAACTCATTAGCTAACCAAAGAAGCATAGCTAGCACAGAGCATTGGGAAGTAGGGGATAGTGTGCTTTGAGTTTGCCCTAAATGCGATCTAGGAGTCTTAACTTTCCAAAAATAAACCTGTCTGTCTCAACTGTTTTTCTGATTTTTAGACAATGGGTTTGTTAGTTTAGTTGTATATTTAGGAGGCTAACCTATACTTAGCAGAATTTTATTTAAATATTTATAAAGTAATAGCTAGGTATTTATTTGCAATAACTTGAATTGGTTGTTGGGTTTTTTTTTTTTAAGACTTGCATAATGGGAGTACTAGTATTTATTGAATACTTGGATATTTGGTAGTTTTATTTGAGAATCTCTGGGATACACAATAAATGGTCAAAGAACAATAAACTTAGAATGATCTTCAAAGCAAAACAAATCAGCAGTTCAGTGATGAAAAATCTTGGGTCTAATAAAGTAAGATAAATTTTTCTTTAAAGGTTGTATTTCTGTGCTATCCGCAAGTGCCCGATAATCTTTTTTTCTCAAAGAATTCAGATAATTTTACAGTTCTATTCAACTTCTTTGTTTTAGACAAACTGTAAGAAAACTTCCCTTTTTGTTTGCTTTAATAATGGTTAGATTAATGTTCTAGAACTGACTTCTACAAGATAACACCTTGGGGTTTTTACTGTAACTTTTTAGGAACTATTGTTTTATTTTTCCTCAGAAAAGCAATCTTACTGTGGTAGCATATGCTGGTGTTTCAGTTACTCATACATTCCTCTCACAGATTTTCAGAAGTACGTAATTGTTTTGTGTTCCTAACTTATTTTTATGGCTGTAATTCAAAAGACTGTAATGGGTTTTGTTAAATTGTTTTAAAATTGATAAATGAAACGTTGCGTTTCTTCTGGGTTTTGTTGTCAGTAACTTCCATATTTTAATGTATTTCCTTATCGGCCGTGCATGTTCTGTTGTATTTAAGCAACTGTCATTTTCCAAATTTGAAGTTGTTCATTTTCCTCCTGTTGACGGTGTTTCTTGCTGGATATTGTGAATGAGGAAGATTATTCATTGTTTTCTTCTCTGAAATCCATGTTTTGTAAGAATGAGACATTAAAAAACATTAAGGGTTTCTTTGTGTATTAGAAAGGTAATGTTTATCTATAACACGGTATTATACCATATATGTGGTAGTGTATCACTACCTATTGTGTTCAGCTATTGTAAGAAAGTCCAAGAAGTATTTCCTTGCCTTTGTTTTCATTGTTCTGTTCATTTTTAATGCTGATTATTTTCCACAGGAAGTTGCTAAAGAGTTCTGCTCTTTCCAGGTAAGCTCCTTATATGTTTTTAGATATCTAGAATTAAGATATTTTTACTGGAAAAAATGCAGGGGAAAATGCAGCAAAATAAGTGGGATTAATTAGATGGTATCTTCTGCTCCGGTTACTGTGAATCCAAATTTCTGTTCGGTTGAATTTATAACTTTTTCTAATTATTTCCCGCCAGGTGAATTTATAACTCTTTCTAGAAGCAAAAAAATCCGTCCTGAGGTGCCGTTCAGTGCTCATTCTTGAATGTCTGCTGCACATTTGCATCCAAGAGTAGACATGACATTTTTAACTCTTGCCTTCAACCTTCCATCATGGTTCTGACTGTAATTAGCTATATTAATTTCATTAGCAATTTATAGCTCAGTAAGAATTGCTTATATGCTAAGCATATGTTTATCTTTGCTGCCATGAGTAACACACTTACAGATTTTTGAAAGTTTGTCTTTATTGTTGATATATTTTAAATTTAATTTTAAATATACGAGCCCAAATATAAATCATGTACTCAAACTTTGTAGCAAAATTTTTAAGGTAGTCTTAGGATTTTTTTAATACGTTGATATTTGTGTGTGATGACACTGAATACGATTCTAATATATGGTGTTTCCAGGCAGTTTGGAAACAGGGGGGGTGTTTTTTTGGTATAACACTGCTGAACCATGGAATGCATCTTACGTGACTTAATACAGTCTTTTTTTTTAATCCACACTGAGGTAAAATATTGTGGTTTTTTCCTCCTGTATGTGTAGATAATGTCACTATAGTAATAACCTGGTTAAAATTCAGCACCGGCTTTATTAAGAATACGATATAAAACTGTTTGAGAGCTTTGTAAATGGAGAGGCTTGCCTTACGCATATTTTAGCAGAAATAAAACAGTGTTTTAATTAACATTTATTATTTCAGAACATAATTTTTGGCATCATTTTCTATAAACTCCAGAAAGCTATTGTAAGATGTTTGTTAGTGGGATCTTTTAACATACAGCTTACTGAATTTTGCCAGACATTTAATTTTGACTCAGTTTTGGACGTGCTTCTTTTTGACCGCTGTATCATGACTTCTCGTGAAGCGCATTCCAGCAGTGTTCTTGTGACTGTCTGTCTCTGCACTCTTTTGGTCTGAAAACCCCGATCTCCTTGTTCAGGACTGCGGTTCCTGCACTGGAGGCGGTAGGGAGCGTCTGGGTATCAAGTACCAAGCTATAGTACGGTGTGCAATTGTAAAACACTGTAATCCTTTCTAGAAGAGTTTTGCCACAAGTTACCAGGAGGCAGCTGGTGATTCAGTAGCTTCCCCT